GCTTCCAAGTTCCTCGATTACAACATTCAGGTGATATCGACGTTCGGTGCTTTGACGTAAATAAGTATAAGAACGCTATAAATTAATTAATCGTTCGCTATTTTTGCGAAATCCAATGGGGAATTGATCCACTTTAGCTCGTCGACTTACCTTCATACAGAATCGATATATGGCTATTTGAATAGAAAGCGAATGGTCACATACTTTTAAGTATTTCCTACGAGAGGATAAATATTTTGAGAAAAATATTGGACTCTCTTGAAAGAATTTTTGAAATAAATATATATATTAAGAAGCTGAGTTTTATTGAAAAGTGAAAATAGAAACTTTTGTTAAATTATTATTTGCATTTAACATGCAATAGATCTATTCTTTTTAGAGCTGAACTTCTTACGCGATTTATTTTTTTTCTTTTTTTTCTGAACGATACAAATTTAGCTTAAAAGAACGAGCCTATAAACGTTTTAGTTGTGCTTGATAATTTGATGACTCTATGAGCCGAATACGTTAGTATTTTTTTTTCTAATTACGTAGTTCGTAGAACATTAACGGACAAATTATTTTTTGAAACAGCTAGCAATTAAAGTGGCTTGATTTGTCAGTTACATCTTACGAAATGACATCTCACGAGCGGATTCAATAATAGAATTGTATTATTGGAAGGATATGTTCATAAGCCGAAATTTAAGTGAAGCAGCTGGTAAGAGACAGGCTGTCAATTCTGTTTCGTGATATAGTACAATATTTACCGTTTCGTAAAAGCTTTCGAGAGGCCTTTGAGATAGCTTTTCAAAGATTCAAAAACTTCCTTCATTTTTTAAACTTTCAATTTTTATTTAAAACTTAGAGGTCTCCAACGATCGATTATATACTGTGGACACTGTAGTTTCATTTATTTTTTATTTTTTTATTTCTTTTCTAAATTCTAATTGATAAGAAATACAAATTTAAATAAAATTTTGTTAATTTTTAAGCTAGATAGACTGAATTCTTCCAATTATAAAAAAACTGGAAAATTTAAATTCTTTTTAATCGAATTGGTAGAATTTATTCTATTTGTAATAAGCATTAGAAAGTTTATTTTAATATTTTTTATTTCATATCTAACGCTCTTATTGAGAAAAATTAAAATTATTGAGAAAAAATTGAAAAAATGTTATTTCCCTGGATATAATTCTTTCCAGACATTTGGGGGAGATTTTTAAGAATTTTCGATGACTTTTCAATGACAGTTCATTCGAAGTAGTGATTTGAAACTTTTTGTCTAAGGTTTTCGCTGAGCCGTTTCTACCACCGACTGTCGAAGACCGTCGCACTTGCGCGTTAAAAGCGACGTGTGGCACGTTTTCCTACGGACCCCCTGCGATGGTTCAGTGTGGCATCATCGGCGCAGTGTAACGTCATCCGCAGCCATCCGTCCAGCATCGCGAAGGACGGACAGCAGCCGCAGCAGCCAGAGCGACGTATCCCGTGTGCAGCATCCGCAACTGCGGTCCAGCTTTTTGCTGTATCTCTCGCTCTCTCTTTCTCTCCTTTTCTCATATCGCTCCGTGCGCGTGCGGAGCTCCTCGTTCGGAGCGTGTCTCGGGATGCGTCGCGTCGATTAGTGGTGAATCGAGTAATCCCGATAATCTCGTCCCGCCGCCGATATATCAGGGGCAGGTCGAGCAGGAAGTCTGCGCGCTTGCTGGCCGATGAAGGCGCGTAAGAGCCGCGACAAACGTAAGTCCGGAAGGCGAGAACGATTGTAAAGCGAAAGAAAGAAAGGCTGCTCCGCGATCGAGCTCTTCCTCCTGCTTCCTCGCCCCGTGTCCGTGCGACACCGTTCAATATATGTGCCACTGCCGTTGATACTTGGACCAGTCGATCGACAGCCGGGGGGGTGATAACTGCCGAATGCAGCACCAAGGTGCGATGTCTTCTCAGCGCTCGGGTCTTCTCTTCTCTTCTTCTCTCACACCTTTCCCACCTCTGTGGAAATCGCCTGATTATCTATTTGTCTGTCTACCTTGTCCGTTTATATGTAGTAATTCCATGCTCTATGAATGGTAGTTCTTGCGTAGGTCGGAGTCTAACCCCTTGTCGCACCACCAGGACTGTTAATGTGTCAAAGGTCATATCCGTGTCAGCTTCGAGCCTTGGTTCGAGCCTTTGGATATATCTTGGGAGATGATATTTTTGGATAACTAAAAAAAAAATCCCTAATCGATTCTCCGATTCTTTTGGTCTCGTTTAAATACTCATCTTTTGATATTTATGAAGTCTTTCTCCTTCATCTTACTCGATTCAATTGTACACTTATTTCTCTATGGCGATGTTGCATTTTAAAATTTCAGAATTGAAACTTTCGAATTTTTAAATCTTCGCTTTTTATTAAGTCTTTTAAAGATTTTATGTCCAATTCTTGGACCTCTGAATTCTTATAGCTTTTTTGAGGTTCTTGGATCCTCATCATTGTCTAATCTCTCTAATTAACTGTCTATTTTGATACAATATTTTCTATAAACGTAAAACTTTTTTTGCATCTAAATCTTAGCTTTAATTTTTTAATTATCAGAGGGACCAGAGCTAATAGTCAAAAATTTTTTAGGATTTAAATTCTTTTTTTTTTTTAATCTTATAGAATCCTCTAGATTTATATTTATACATATATATTTGTAGATTCCTAAATTTTTTGTATTTTATTGCAATGTAATATTTCCTTAGTAAAAGGCAAAATTAGTTCTAGTACCTTATATGAAATAAATTAGTCTGAAGAAATTAAAGAGAAAATTTTTTTCGTAATTTTTTTATTTATTTATATTTATATCTCCCCCCTTCATAAATAAAAAATTTCTGTTACGAATAATTTATCTTGAAGGTTCCTCCGTATTTCTTGACGAATACTCACGTAATATTCACGTAAGGAAGGGGTAGTCAGGAAGTAAGGGGTAGGAGCTGCATCGTTACTGTGGCAACCCCGGATACCCGGGACCAGAGCTAATAGTCGCAGCATGCGTAGGGAATGGACAAAACGTCGCAATTCTTTAGAAAGTGATCTTTGACATGTTATCATCAGTAAGTGTAGACGATATAAATTTGCAATGAAAATTTTTATGTACATATCCCTGATTCTTGTTTGAATTTGATTATTCAGATTGTTAGACTACCTCTATATATTTACATATACAAGGTGTTTGGAAATAATCGCCAAATATTTCATGGACAGGTAGAGAAAACTGAGTCGAAAAGTCCTCTACTATTTTGCAATTTTCACAATAGTTAACAAGATATTAATTACTAAAAATTGCCAAATATTGGTCTTGAATAATTTTTTACTCAAATACTATCAATTTTACAGAAAAACTGCAAGAGACAAAAATCATGTATTTTCTTCTCATAAAATTCTGAGAATTTTTTCAGAATTTTTTAATATTTTCTCATGTTGGTAAAAAAAAAGAAAATGCAGTACTAAAAAGTTGATAAAAAATTTTGAAAAAATTCTTAGAACTTTATGAGAAGAAAACAAATGATTTTTGTCTCTTGGAGCTTTTCTATAAAGTTGATAGTATTTGAGTAAAAAAATTATTCAAGACCAATTTTCGACTCAGTTTAATCTTCTCTATCTACCCATGAAATATTTGGCGATTATTTCCAGACACTCTGTATATTAATTCTCAAATTTTTAAATATTTAGATCTCAAAATTTTAAGCCCTTAAATGTGTTTGTAAACACTTGAATGCTCAGACTTTTCAACCCCTGCATATTTAGACCTCTTTTTGAATCTTTAGATTATTTTTACTCTTAGATCTTTAGATTCTTTTCATGTATTATATTGTATTAAATTATCATCGATTGCTTAAATAATGAGTAGTTCTCTTTAGGATTAATATTGAGCGCTTTCTAATAGCGAATTTCTATCATTATTTAATTAACTAGTAATATAATATTTAATTCCTATAGTTAATTGACTTGTTAATAAATATTATGTTAATGAAAATATTTAAAAAAATTGAAAATTATATTTATTTTATAGTTTGCATTTCTGTTTATAAGAAACTATTGAATCATTTCCTTTTATAAAATATATAGATATAAAAGGAAAGATATAAAATATATCTTTTCTCTTTCAAAGCAATTGAAGAAACAAGCACAATTACTACAAGCAATTAATTGCATTTACCACAAGAAATATCTTTAATCGAATCTTTTTATGGAACAAAACAATTTCACCAGCACAGTAGAATCCATGGTTATCCTTTCACTTTCAGAATATGAAAAATGTATTCTCGCAATATCTTCTTCGAGCTCTTTCAATCTTCCTCAATTATCTTCTTGAATGATTTGCACTATACAAGGACGTTCGTTAAAAATAATTATTAATGAATTATTGAGAATTAATTAATTAATATTTTAATTATATATAAATCAATAAAAATTAAAAAGAAAATTATTATATGTAGATATATATATATATATATATGAAAATATATATAACTGATGTCTTTTTTAATTTTTTAAAATTTGGATTCTATTTTACAAAGTATTTAACTTATTTTTGATATAAAAAACATATAAATTCGTTTTCGTAGTTTATAAATTCGTAATTATAAAAAAAACGAGCAATCTTGTATAGCGCAAATTATCTCCATATTTCTTCACCCCTGTTGTCTCTCGCCTCTCACGACTTCTCCGCCTGCAAGTCTTTACGCACTGTGTAGGTCCCTTCTAGAGTAGAGGATATCCCTTCTTCAGGGATTTACAGTCACGATAATTCCCTCAAAAGTAGAAAAAAATAAGACAAGAAAAGGACCTTTTCATATCTATCTTTTTCAAGTAGAAAAAAATGGATTTGGAGACCTCCCTTCTCTCGATAATCATGGGCGACGGGAGATTGCTGGAACTCTTCGAGCGAAGGTTTTCACTCTCCCGCGCTCTACGACAAGAGAAGGGAGGCGCGAGAGGGAGCATCTCGAAGGCGCGACGCAGTCTTAGGAGTGAAGGGCTTGCGAACTTGCAGAAGGAGAACTTGAAGGACTCGGGGGCGTTTTAGGGAGCTCCGGGGGCGCCGCGCTTGCTCTTAGCGGCCGACACAAGCCGGAGGAGCTCGCCACCCTCGCGGCTACCACCAGGTTCTCGCGGAAGGAAATCCAGCTGATCTACCGAGGTTTCAAGCCGGAAAGCCCGACCGGTCTGGTCGACGGAGCTGGCCTCAAAAAAAAAAACGGAGGTGTCAAGCAGGAAGGCCCGACCGGTCTGGTCGACGAAGATGCCTTCAAACAAATCTTCTCGCAATTCTTTCCGCAGGGAGGTAATGAAGGGATGATGATGATAACAACAATGATGATAATAATGATTCCGACTATTGGACGATAAATACAAACGTCTTTTTTTCATCTTTGTGAATTTTTAATTGTAAATAAATAAAATAATCGTTCTTATTGTAAAAATGAAATTTTTAAATGATATTTCTTCTTTCTTACATTTCGTTTACATCAGATTTTGTTAATTTTCGAAATTTTCTGGTTTCTTGTTAACCGAATTAAAATGAAAGAATAAATATTAATTTATATACAGGTTTTTTTACAAGAATAAGAATTTTCTAAATTCTGAAAGCTTTATATTTTTTATTAGGCAAATAAGTCTATCTTGTGTTACACAAAGAAATCATATATAAATCTGTTTAAGTTATCATTACCGTCCCTTTTTGATCACATGTTGTAGACGCAAGTCAATACGCTCATTATGTTTTCAACACCATGAAGAGGAAACCGTCCGGCAAGATAAGCTTTGAGGTGAGCGACGTCGCAAATAAAATGTTTTGAAAGGAACACGGAAATATTCCCTGTGATTTTGAACTCTACTTTATATTTACTGATTAGACGATTCTATTCAAGTTTTATTCTATTCAAGGAAAATTATAGGTTTATAGTCTGAGTTATAAATTTTTCTTTTTAAATAGGAATTCCTCACTATATTGTCGAAGGTGTCAAGAGGATCGGTGGAGGAGAAGTTGCAATGGGTATTTGGTCTGTACGATCTGGATGGCGATGGCTTGATAAGCAAAGAGGAAATGCTGGATGTTGTGGGCTCCATTTACGAGATGTTGGGTCGTTACACGCAACCGCAAATCCTTGAGCCGCAGGTGGCCGCTCGCGAACACGTCGATCGTATCTTTCATGTGAGTAACACGATACCCTTAATTAGCTAATACAAAAACAGAACTGAAGCTAACTACGTATAAGTGAAGATAATTAATAACGAAATAAAATTTGTAAATTGTAAACATTTTGCGATCTTTTAGAACATAGTTAATGATATATTAGAATTCGTTAATTATTCTAAAAAATTGTAATATATCTTTTTTATTTATCATATAATGTACATTTCTTAATTTTATTTTTTAATCATAATGATGGATATTTAATGATGGATGATAATTGTATGGCTCGTGTAGTTAATTATTATTAATAATTGAGTAATATCAATAATATTTTATACATATTTTTAGTTGATGGATGCGAATAAGGACGGTGTAGTGACCATCGAAGAGCTGGTGCAGTGGTGCTCCAAGGACGAGCAATTGTTGCGAAGTCTCGATACTTTGGACACCGTATTATGAGAATTTAATGTTCTATCGGAAATTTCAGTATCAGATTATCAAATATATACGCTTTGAGCAATGATTATGAAATATCACGAACTTGTCTATTAATCTATTCTGCTTTGGTTTTGTAGATAAGAGGAATATGTAAATTTTCAATGATTTAATAATTATACATATGAAAAAGAAAAGTTGATTGAAAGCATTAAAAAGAATTTTCTCAAAAAAAAAAAATCTACGAATTAAATCTACGAATCGTCAGCCTATAATTTATAAGAGTAATACAAAAAGTGCAATAATTCGACATTTGCGAAAAAAAAATCAAATGCAATCAACCGAAATGTCATTGCTCGATACGTATTTTTAAGAAAAGGCCCTGGAGAACCATTTCGCACGTGTCTTTTGTAAATATGTATGTACCTCGTTACACACCTACCCAGTCTTTCAAATACAACTTCCGATATGTTGTTCAACAATTGAAAATCTGAAAGAATCAACGATTTAAGTTGGCTTTAAAGTTTCTCGAAGCTTCACAGAGAGAGATAGCTTTAAGAATTTTTTTAAAAAACGTTGAAATTATAATTAAAAATATCTCAAGTTATTATGTTATATACAAAATTGTTAAATTATTCATTATGTCGAGAAAAATAAATTGTTAGTTCGTTCAGATACTCAATTTTCTACAATAGATGAATTAAAAGTAATCGATAAAGATTTAATTTACAAAAACAGAAAAGATATTCGTAATTCAATTGAATTTGACTATCGATTTTAAATCGATTTTTGAATTTTTAAAATGATTTTACAGAAGGGATGTGCGTCTTTCTTTTTTCTAGAAATTTTTCTGTTGACTCGTATATTTTTAGAAAATTACTATTGGCAATTTCAGTTGGACGTACTAGTGCACACTGGTGCTTATTAAAATTGTTGTACACTGTTTAAATGTATATATATGATCATAAAAAAGTGAAATGCAAATATTTCGAATTATAATGAAAATATTTTATCTAGCAGCACGATAAAGTGTATTGAGAATTTTATGGTTTGACTGATCTTTATTTATATTAAGTATACATTATTATTGCAATTTGTGTACAACGACTTTAATATGCACTAGTGAACACTGAGTGCGTTCAATCGAATTCGCTATGTGAATAGCATAGTGTTGCGAAGTGTTTAAACCTTGGAAAATCTTTAATAATATATATTATTCGATTGAATCTTTAAGGGCGTGTCTGCCCTAACTCTTTAATATTTCTAAATTTAATCTTTTAATCTTAATGTACTATTATGAATGCCAAATTCGAACTTTTAAATCATCGATTACAAAGCAGTACTCTTCTCAGGTCAAGTGAGGAAAAACAATGTTATCCTGTTACTACTTTACCTCGTGTGATTATCCTGTACCTTATTATTATATAATAATAATAATATTATATATATATATATATATATATATGT